CGAAACACGCATACAGGATTTCAGTGTGGTCATTCACTTGACCTCACCTCGGCAAAACGGAGAGCCAACGAGGTACACCCTTCGTGTATCTGGTGACCCGATGGCAAGTTCTCGTGGACTGGCAGGTGTAGGCATAGCACTAAGCATGAGGGCCGAACAAGCACTGCTAGAGTGGATTCCCGTCAACAGTCGTCTATGTGCTGTTCGGCTGAACGGCTCCATAAGAACTCGGAAGGATAGGGACACACGTCGTTGCCTTTTTGTCGTTTCTGCCTACGCTCCCACTGACTGCAGCTCAGATGATGTGAAAGATGAATTTTACAGAAAGCTGTCCGAACTTCTTCAGAAAGCTAAACGCTCAGACATAGTACTCGTAGCAGGTGATTTTAATGCTCAGATAGGCAGTTTAAACCAAACAGAAAGGCATTTAGGTGGGTATTTTAGTATTCCAGCACAACGAACAGATAATGGTGATCGTCTGCTGCAACTGTGCTCAGACAATCGTTTATTTTTAGCAAGCACAAATTTTAAGCATAAGGAGAGACATCGTCTAACATGGTGACCCCCTACACCAAACCAACGATGGACTCTAATAGACCATATTGCCATCAGTCATCGTTGGAGAGGGTCGGTACAAGATTGGCGTTCATTCTGGAGTACCTACTTGGTCTTCGATCACGCCCTAAGACGGGAACGCATCTGCTTGCGCCTCACTGGACGCAAAAAAGCCTCGGTTAAAAGACCCATTAGAACTGAATTGAGTAACGAGAAAACCAAAAGTAGGTTCCAGGAACAACTGAGGTCACACTTAGGTAGTTCTGAAAACGAGGCTGCCCAGATGTTGCTTGGAAGGGCATACAATCAGCTGTGGAAACAGCAGTGACATCTATTAGTGATTTAGGCCACAGGGTTACAAAGAACCAATGGATTCCTTTCAAGGTCTATTGCACTGATGGATTCTCGCAAACTCGTCCCATCAGGTCCTGAACGTGATGAAGAGCGACAACAAATCAGATCTAGGTTAAGCGAAAGTCTAAGAAACGACCGTGAGCAGTGGTGGGCATCGAAAGCACAAGAGATGGAAAAGGCGGCGGCTATAGGGAACACAAGACAGCTTTACAGACTAATAAAAGAAACTGGAGTTAAAAAGTCAAGTGTAAGTGAGATTATATCGGAAAAAGACGATACACTCATCTGCTCCAAGTCCAGGCGTCTAGAACGATGGGCCGAACACTTTAGGGAACAGTTCAGCTGACATCCAGCTTTCCTACAACTACCCTCCATTCCCAGACTGTGTGAATGGAACATTGAAGTAGGTCACCCGACTCTTGCTGAAGTTCAAAAGGCTATAGTTAATCTGAAACGAGGAAGGGCAGCTGGTCCAGATGGATTGACTCCAGATAATTTTAAGTGTGGTAATCCAATTTTGACGATTAGGTTGACTGATATTTTAGATAAGATTTGGGAGTTAGACGTTATTCCATCTGACTGGTCACAATCACTTATCGTCCCGATAGATAAGAGAGCGTTAAAATCATCCTGTGAAAACCATAGAGGGATTAGTTTAACTAATACAGTATCTAAGATACTAGCCCCGATAATTATCAGACGCCTAACTAAGACTCGTGGACTGCAAACTCGAGAGAACCAAGCTGGCTTCAGACCTGGTCGTGGCTGCATCGACCACATATTCACCATTCGTCAGGTTCTAGAACATTGGCATACTTATCGACGTCTGACAATGGTGGTCTTTCTTGACTTAAAATTAGCATTTGACTCGGTAGACCGCGAGATTCTGTGGCAGTGTCTGTCATTGAAAGGCGTACCTCAGAAGTACATAAACCTCGTGAAGGCTCTTTACTCAAACACTACTAGTCGAGTCAGAGCTCATGGCGAACTATCATCTACTTTTGCAACCTCAAGTGGTGTCCGACAAGACTGTCCACTTTCTCCATTTTTGTTTAACTTCATCATAGACCTACTAATGGAAATAACATTCTCGTCGACTGAATTCTTGGGCATTGATCTCCTTCCAGGAGGTCCACTTATCGACTTAGAATACGCAGATGACATAGTCCTGTTTGGTGGAGACGCTGACAAAATGCAGAGTCTTCTGGTAGCACTGAGAAACAATGCCAGAATGTTTGGAATTCGCTTCTCTCCCTCTGAATGCAAGTTGTTGCTTCAGGACTGGTCTGGGCCAACACCTGAACTAAGGATAGGGAGTGAAGTAGTTGAACGCGTTGACAACTTCACTTATCTTGGAAGTCTGATCAGCCCTAATGAGTTGGTGTCTGACGAAATCTCAGCACGGATTCGAAAAGCTCGTTTGGCTTTTGCCAACCTACGTCACCTTTGGCGAAGGCGAGATATCCGTCTATCAATAAAAGGACGAGTATACTGCGCGGCAGTTCGTTCTGTTTTAATTATCGGCAGCGAAACATGGCCCTTAAGAGTAGAAGACACCCGTAAGTTACTAGTATTTGACCACAGATGCCTTAGAAATATTGCTGGCATCTGCTGGGATCACCGGGTAAGTAATAGTGAGGTTAGACGCAGGGTATTAGGGAATGATGTTAAATCAGTTGATGAGGTTATGAGATGGTTGGGCCACGTATTACGTATGCCTGAACATCGATTACCACGACGTGCAATGCTAACCGGTGTAGGGGATGGTTGGAAGAAAGTTAGGGGCGGCCAAACCAAAACGTGGCATCAGTGCATGAAGTCACTAACTTCTAGTCTGAGCCATGTTGGTAGATGCAGACTACTTGGTTGGGGTCCGCGTGACTTTCGTAACCAATGTTTGGAGACTCTTGGTGACATGGCTCAGAATCGATCACAATGGCGTCGGTGTATACACTCCCTGTCTTCCCTTAAACTAAGAGACTAAAATCACTTCATTCTTTCTGCCTACGAACTAATTCTTTCTTCCTGTACTATATCCTTATTGCAACCTTTGACCTAACCACTCCTATGAATCCGCTGTTCATCTTGCTGTGCTAATGAGGTATGGCAACCTAGATCGATGCACATATGTGCCTGGTCCTACGTTGTAGCTGACTGACTGACTGAGTAGATCCTTTTTATATTGTCTGTTTGAATCTGCCCTTTGGTGTTTAAGACTTCAATTGATCAGTCTCTTATTAGCACATGTACATTCTATGCGGATTACTTCGATATTACCTTAAATCACACGAAGTTTCAAATGAACAATACAAAATGAATTTAAACTTCATCCTATTGCACAAGCTAATGGCTATCTGAACTCACTAGCTAAATCGATAACGTGATGACATTTGTAGTGAACACTACTGGATTCAATGCTTGAATTGAAAATCAACTAAGAAATACAAATACATTCAGCTGAGGAGTCCCAATTAGGACGGACGAAACACGCATCATGCATTCCACTGCTAGCCATCATCCATCTTTACATATTATAGTTACCAGTCAAGTACCAATGAAATATATGTCTGTTATTCTCTAATTTAATATATAGCTATTCTTAAGTAATAATCAAGCTAATAGATCGATTAAATTTTCTTTTTAAAAATGACATACATGATCTAATCAATTTATCTTCATTATTGTGATGAAATTTACTTATATTACTGAAAAGGGAATACAAGAATACAGCCGTTTTATACTACTATTAAAATAGTATCCTTTGTCTACAGATAGATATCTTTGATCCTATCCGATTGATTCAATCTTGAATGGATTCAACTTACTCATCACAATACATGGATTCATTTAACAAGGAAATGTTATCTATAAACTCATTAACAAATGACAAAGGTTGTTTAGAAGAAGTAAGTTTCATATTCAATTTTGCGAATATTAAAATTTCTTATGAATATATAAACAATGAATATGAATTTTTAGTTTTCGAAGAAAGATTTCAATAGTTGAGATCATGAGTCAATTGAAACTAGACCACCATGGGAAACCTAGATGCACTGGACGTCCGTTTCGTCCTATTGTAGGACCCTTCAGCAGTGCTCATCCACGACCTCACCTCGCGAAATTTGAACTCAGGACCTAACAGTCTCGCGCGCGATATCTAACTTCAGTCAATCCACGAAATGCAGTGACACATCCACCAATGCCTTCAGTGAGTTACTATCTCACAACAGACCCGGTTGAACTCCACTGCTCACTGCTTCTCACCAGAACTCCAGGAAATATCTCTTGAAACCAGCCATTAATTATTATCTAAATAAGAATAAGAACTACAGTGCGGAACGATTGAATTTAGGTACATAGAATATTAAAATTCGACTTTATGATCCTTTCTTAATGTGAAATTCTTGAATATGATATCTGATTAAGTCAATCATGTACACTGTTAAAATGTTTCAAACTTGAACAAGTGCTCAGCGTTGCAAGATCTTTAACGGTTTCTTGACATAAACCTCTCAGAGCAAAATGATATGAGAAAAAATAATACCTGTGTATAAGGAATAAAAAAGTAGAAAGAGTAAGAAAAAATTTTGGATAAGCCTTGAATACAGTTACCGTTATAACTTTTAGTTATGAACTATGTGATGTTCGAATAATGAGATATCTAAAGTCTTACCCAATAAGTTGAAATTGTTTTTGTAGGGCTCAGTTCATCAATCAGTAATGGTATAGATTACTTTCTCCTAAGAATTAGAAGTAATCATCATTTAGCACTAACCAACCTAAACTTTGGATGTAACTTGGTAACTAGATAATCTATATTTCATAACTTTACACACAGACTCAGTTACTGCATTTAATATCAATATCGAAACGTTGGTTCATCCATACTAAGTCTATGTTTAAGGAAACGTTGATTCATCATCTTTGAGTCCACTCTTAAAATCACTTCCGTTATATCTTGAGCTTAGTTTCTTATTATATCGCGTACAATTTGAGCAGTCGAACGCTAAAACCCTCCTAAGTCGCAAGTTAGAACATAAAAGACAAGTAAAAGAAATGTTATTTCAAACAGCATCAATTGTGGTACAAAAATGTCAGGTATTTATAGTTTCTAGTGAAGACGAAATCATCATTATAGCTCTTGAATATGCATACAGGTGGTTATTAGCATTTGTCCAATAGGGAAGCTACACATAGGGATTCTGGAATATTCTTCAAAAAATTGATTGAATGGAATATCTTCAGCTATTTTTTAAGCTTTCTATAGCTTCCTCGAGTTCACCCATGTGTCGTCCTCATAAATGCAAACAGCATTTCTATCTGGCACATTTTAACCGATAAAAATTCAATGTTTATTTTATCAATGTATTTTCAACAGAATTCACTTCATCATTATGATTACTGGACACTGAATAACAGTTTAAATTCACCAACAATTGAAGTAGATCAACGAGCAAAATGGATGATTCAGATAAAATCAATCATTTTAAAAAATGATATATTTTCCAAAAGTCAGTATGTAAATTATCATATTCCTTATCGTACAACACTTCATCATCATCATCATCATCATCATCATCATCATCATCATCATCATCATCATCATCATCATCATCATCATCATCATCATCATCATCATCATCATCATCATCATCATCATCATCATCATCATCATCATCATCATCATCATCATCATCATCATCATCATCATCATCATCATCATCATCATCATCATCATCATCATCATCATCATCATCATCATCATCATCATCATCATCATCATCATCATCATCATCATCATCATCATCATCATCATCATCATCATCATCATCATCATCATCATCATCATCATCATCATCATCATCATCATCATCATCATCATCATCATCATCATCATCATCATCATCATCATCATCATCATCATCATCATCATCATCATCATCATCATCATCATCATCATCATCATCATCATCATCATCATCATCATCATCATCATCATCATCATCATCATCATCATCATCATCATCATCATCATCATCATCATCATCATCATCATCATCATCATCATCATCATCATCATCATCATCATCATCATCATCATCATCATCATCATCATCATCATCATCATCATCATCATCATCATCATCATCATCATCATCATCATCATCATCATCATCATCATCATCATCATCATCATCATCATCATCATCATCATCATCATCATCATCATCATCATCATCATCATCATCATCATCATCATCATCATCATCATCATCATCATCATCATCATCATCATCATCATCATCATCATCATCATCATCATCATCATCATCATCATCATCATCATCATCATCATCATCATCATCATCATCATCATCATCATCATCATCATCATCATCATCATCATCATCATCATCATCATCATCATCATCATCATCATCATCATCATCATCATCATCATCATCATCATCATCATCATCATCATCATCATCATCATCATCATCATCATCATCATCATCATCATCATCATCATCATCATCATCATCATCATCATCATCATCATCATCATCATCATCATCATCATCATCATCATCATCATCATCATCATCATCATCATCATCATCATCATCATCATCATCATCATCATCATCATCATCATCATCATCATCATCATCATCATCATCATCATCATCATCATCATCATCATCATCATCATCATCATCATCATCATCATCATCATCATCATCATCATCATCATCATCATCATCATCATCATCATCATCATCATCATCATCATCATCATCATCATCATCATCATCATCATCATCATCATCATCATCATCATCATCATCATCATCATCATCATCATCATCATCATCATCATCATCATCATCATCATCATCATCATCATCATCATCATCATCATCATCATCATCATCATCATCATCATCATCATCATCATCATCATCATCATCATCATCATCATCATCATCATCATCATCATCATCATCATCATCATCATCATCATCATCATCATCATCATCATCATCATCATCATCATCATCATCATCATCATCATCATCATCATCATCATCATCATCATCATCATCATCATCATCATCATCATCATCATCATCATCATCATCATCATCATCATCATCATCATCATCATCATCATCATCATCATCATCATCATCATCATCATCATCATCATCATCATCATCATCATCATCATCATCATCATCATCATCATCATCATCATCATCATCATCATCATCATCATCATCATCATCATCATCATCATCATCATCATCATCATCATCATCATCATCATCATCATCATCATCATCATCATCATCATCATCATCATCATCATCATCATCATCATCATCATCATCATCATCATCATCATCATCATCATCATCATCATCATCATCATCATCATCATCATCATCATCATCATCATCATCATCATCATCATCATCATCATCATCATCATCATCATCATCATCATCATCATCATCATCATCATCATCATCATCATCATCATCATCATCATCATCATCATCATCATCATCATCATCATCATCATCATCATCATCATCATCATCATCATCATCATCATCATCATCATCATCATCATCATCATCATCATCATCATCATCATCATCATCATCATCATCATCATCATCATCATCATCATCATCATCATCATCATCATCATCATCATCATCATCATCATCATCATCATCATCATCATCATCATCATCATCATCATCATCATCATCATCATCATCATCATCATCATCATCATCATCATCATCATCATCATCATCATCATCATCATCATCATCATCATCATCATCATCATCATCATCATCATCATCATCATCATCATCATCATCATCATCATCATCATCATCATCATCATCATCATCATCATCATCATCATCATCATCATCATCATCATCATCATCATCATCATCATCATCATCATCATCATCATCATCATCATCATCATCATCATCATCATCATCATCATCATCATCATCATCATCATCATCATCATCATCATCATCATCATCATCATCATCATCATCATCATCATCATCATCATCATCATCATCATCATCATCATCATCATCATCATCATCATCATCATCATCATCATCATCATCATCATCATCATCATCATCATCATCATCATCATCATCATCATCATCATCATCATCATCATCATCATCATCATCATCATCATCATCATCATCATCATCATCATCATCATCATCATCATCATCATCATCATCATCATCATCATCATCATCATCATCATCATCATCATCATCATCATCATCATCATCATCATCATCATCATCATCATCATCATCATCATCATCATCATCATCATCATCATCATCATCATCATCATCATCATCATCATCATCATCATCATCATCATCATCATCATCATCATCATCATCATCATCATCATCATCATCATCATCATCATCATCATCATCATCATCATCATCATCATCATCATCATCATCATCATCATCATCATCATCATCATCATCATCATCATCATCATCATCATCATCATCATCATCATCATCATCATCATCATCATCATCATCATCATCATCATCATCATCATCATCATCATCATCATCATCATCATCATCATCATCATCATCATCATCATCATCATCATCATCATCATCATCATCATCATCATCATCATCATCATCATCATCATCATCATCATCATCATCATCATCATCATCATCATCATCATCATCATCATCATCATCATCATCATCATCATCATCATCATCATCATCATCATCATCATCATCATCATCATCATCATCATCATCATCATCATCATCATCATCATCATCATCATCATCATCATCATCATCATCATCATCATCATCATCATCATCATCATCATCATCATCATCATCATCATCATCATCATCATCATCATCATCATCATCATCATCATCATCATCATCATCATCATCATCATCATCATCATCATCATCATCATCATCATCATCATCATCATCATCATCATCATCATCATCATCATCATCATCATCATCATCATCATCATCATCATCATCATCATCATCATCATCATCATCATCATCATCATCATCATCATCATCATCATCATCATCATCATCATCATCATCATCATCATCATCATCATCATCATCATCATCATCATCATCATCATCATCATCATCATCATCATCATCATCATCATCATCATCATCATCATCATCATCATCATCATCATCATCATCATCATCATCATCATCATCATCATCATCATCATCATCATCATCATCATCATCATCATCATCATCATCATCATCATCATCATCATCATCATCATCATCATCATCATCATCATCATCATCATCATCATCATCATCATCATCATCATCATCATCATCATCATCATCATCATCATCATCATCATCATCATCATCATCATCATCATCATCATCATCATCATCATCATCATCATCATCATCATCATCATCATCATCATCATCATCATCATCATCATCATCATCATCATCATCATCATCATCATCATCATCATCATCATCATCATCATCATCATCATCATCATCATCATCATCATCATCATCATCATCATCATCATCATCATCATCATCATCATCATCATCATCATCATCATCATCATCATCATCATCATCATCATCATCATCATCATCATCATCATCATCATCATCATCATCATCATCATCATCATCATCATCATCATCATCATCATCATCATCATCATCATCATCATCATCATCATCATCATCATCATCATCATCATCATCATCATCATCATCATCATCATCATCATCATCATCATCATCATCATCATCATCATCATCATCATCATCATCATCATCATCATCATCGTCATCATCATTGATGCTAATGAAGAACAGTTGATATATGAATGTTATTAGAGATCAAACTTTTGGTTACGTGATCTTACTTATAAACTTCAAATTTAACAAATAATGTTCACTTTTTCAAAGTTGAAAATGAATCCTCAACATTTCTTTATTATTGATTGTCGTTATCCACACGAATGTAATGCTGAACATATTTGTAGTGCTATTAATCTATGAGAATGGCCAAAACTTTATAAATATTTTTTTGGTATAAATCAACAATCTATTGAAACTACTGAAATGGATTTAAGTAACTCATTATATTCAACGGAACAACTGATTAAACCATAACCATCTCATACTATATTTATATTATATTGTGATTTTTCTACAAAACGTGCACCACAATTATTTTATCTTTTACGTATTCATGACAGAGTATTACATTTCACTTCATATCCTGCATTAAAATATCCATTTGTTCTTCTTCTTCTTCTTGTTCTTCTTGTATGTTTCCCTTCACGATTCCATGTTATCGCTTGTCTCATGATGTAGTTCGATTCCAGTTCAATACTACTTACTTGTTACTTATTTATTTCACAATTATTTTCATCTCATTTCTTCTATTCATAATGATTAATATAAGCAACATCGATTCAATTCATTTTGATCGAAAAGTTTTCTCTCAAACGGAATTCATTAACATTGCAACCTATTCAATATTGAATATGTTTCTTTTAATTCAATCATTAATAATGTCTCCGTTTAAATATATTTTTCTTTTATTTTCATTGGTTGATTCACTAGAATTAAAAGAGAATAGCTTGACAAATACAACTTAAAAATGAGTTTATATATATAGAGAGAGAAACCTAAGGCCCTGGGTTCTAATCCCGCGAGCGGGATCGTGGATGCGTACTGTTAAGGAGTCCCATAATATAATGAAACGGACAGCCAGTGCTTCTAGGTTTTCAACAGCGGTCTAACATCATTCGGTTCATGATTTCAATTTAAACAAAAGCATAATTAATCTCCACAACCTCATAATGAAAAATTATTTTATTTTATTTTACTTTTTGTCATTGTTTTTTTTTGAATTATTATTATTTAGCTACACTAATTTAACATCAAAACCATTTTCATGTTCAATATGTCATCGAGGCTTTTGTCAATCACGTTCATTAGAAAATCATAAACGTTCAAACCATCCAATTAAAAAAGATGAAACCGGTACAAAATTCAATGATAATCATTCGACTAGATTGATTTATACAACAGCTAATATTATTCCTATAAATGACATGAATACTACTACTACTACTACTACTACTAATAATAATAATAATAATAATAATAGTAGTAGTAGTAGTAGTACTAGTACTAATATGAATATCTTTACTACAAATTGTGACGTGATCAACATAATAAGAAATAATAAGACGGTATAAATACAATTTAAATAATGTATTCAACAATTGTTTTCATGGTTAATATTTTGGTTTGTTTTGTTTTAATGAATGAACAAAATGAAAAGAAAAATATTTTATTCACTTTCTAATGAGTGATTCATGTGTTATTTAATTCATTTTCATTTTGATTTATTTTTCATTTCGTTTAAAGAAATAAATATATTTTATAAAAAGAAAAAGAAAGTTAATTTTGGTTACTAAGCAAAGATGCATGGCAACTAATAGTGGAATTCAGGACGTGTGTTTCGTCCTAATTTGATACTCATCACTTGGTGTGAATAACAAATCTGAGATTTGGGCACATCCAGCTGATGAGTTTCAAGTAGGACGAAACGCGTGTTCTGGATTCTATTGTTATCCACTCTCTGTCTTTGTTTATAATGCTTGTGACTTAAGACAATATTGGGGCAATACACACAGGATGCATATATGCCAATAAGAGATTGATCAATTACAGTCCTAAACATCAATGGGAAGATTGAAATAAACGTTACCAAGTGAATTTAATATTAGTTAAATTTAATTTATCCTGGTACATCCAACTGATGAGTCTCAAATAGAAGGAAACGCGCGTCCCAGATTCCAATGCTAACCATTATGCATCCTTGCTTATAATATTTGTTAATTAAGGCATTATCAAAGCAATCCGTACAGGATGTACCCATTCCAATAAGAGATTGATCAATTGCAGTCCTAAACATCAATAGGACGATTCATGTAAACAATACCAAGTGAATTTAAATAATTTCTTTTCTTCTGCAATACTATTTGGATATTTTACATAGAATAACAACTACAAAGTAATCTATATGTATTGAACTTATAGAGTTATCCAGGCAAGTAAACTGAATACAACAGTAGGCATTGACTACACCATATTTTAATATTATTAAGAAGAAATACAAATATATTCAGATAAACTGTGTAAGAACAAAACACTTGAAGTGACTAGTCATTGAATGTGAATTATTTAAATGACCAGTAATTAATTTATTTGCACCACTGAGTCTTTATATCTGTAAAGTATAACTTCATTGATTGAAACGCAGTTTCATCATCAGTGCTTTAATGACTAAATCACTGTACTTAATACAATGTATTTCCTTACTAATGATATCTGACAATCGTAAAGTATCAGGGTGGAGTGTTGCATGGTATATTTACTGTTTATTTAGTCGATCAATGTGTCTTACTGGGTCTCAAGTTGGCAAAAAATAAGCAAGGTTTTGGCCTCATTACAGTAATGTTATTGCAACTTGCCAGTATAGGGTTGATGAGTAACTTAAATTAACAAAGTAGTCTGTAGGCGCAATCTCCTCACTTCTTACAGTTAATGGAAGTGATGTTGTAGATCTTTTGAAGAATTATATATATTGCGGATATGAAACAGATACCAACCATTTTCGGATGTTAGGTGTTAAATTTACATTCTTTTCTTTCATAGTGACGCAATGAGGCTAACAATAGAAGCAAATATGAGCAGTATATTTAGAAATTTTTGAGTCTACGCATAAATATAACCTAACCAGTTGATAAATTAGTTGACAAAACTAATCCTCACTGATTTAAAGGCCATAGGTTCTTACTCAAACTTCGAGTGAATGTATCCTCACCAAATCAATTGATTCATGAAACATTTTTACTAATTCTGTATTTTAATAGTTAAATTCATGAGTCGACTAAAGCTAGACCACCATGGAAAATCTGAAAGAATTGGATGGCCGTTGCATCTCAGCATGAAACTGTAGTGTTAGTCATTAGTTTTAGCCCATAATATATCTTATTCTAGTTTTCGGACATTCCATTCTATTCATTCTACTTGAGTCATAGGTTGACCTTGTCAATTATTCGCTTGTCAGTCTTGATTGTTTTTATGTGAGCCTATTGTGTGTACACATCATATCACATGACTCATTGCATGTCTGTAGCTTAATTTTGTCTGAATATAAATATTGAGTAACGCTAGACTAAAAATGAGTTGGATTACCGGCCATCTCCACTCTGCGTCGCTTCTCTTCCTCCTATTCCATTCACCTCATATACAAAATATATGTATTCAAAATCCCATTCACGTTATTTGACTTATTTAATTCCGTTATTGGCTAACGTGATTTAAGTCGAGGATTATATACGAGAATAGGCGATAACAAACATTCGTACGATCTAAATAGGAGTCAGATCCACGGGCCTCCCGAAAAAACTCCTCAGCAGTGCACATCCACGATCTCGCCCGCAGGACTCGAAACCAGGACCTTTGGTCTACGCGCACGAACGCTAAACCTGTAGATCACTGGGCTAGTACCCAACGGTGAACCGTCGCGCTATTTCTTGGATTGGTTGAAGTTAGACATTAACACCGTTGGGTGCCGGTTTAGTGGTCTAGAGGTTAGGCGTTTGCACGCGAGACCGAAAGTCCCGAGTTCGAGTCCAAAGAGAGAGATCATGGATCTTCACTGTTGGGCAGTCCCATAATGAGACGAAACGGCCGTCCAGTAGTTCCAGGTCTTTCATGGTAGACTAGCTTCAACTGACTCATGATTTCAACCAGTGACGTTCTTTATTTGTTATAATCACTTACTTAGAAAAACACTTATTTTTATACATACTGATGATGACTACTGCGTGTAAACAATCTAGACCATCTCAATCAACAGTCTTCAAGTAATCTATTTGATTAGATTATTAGGTCTAGCAATTAAACAGATTTCATATTTACAATAGTTAACAAGTATTGTATCCAACCATCAATACCTTCTAATTTATGATATTGAAATAAATCATTTGAAATGAACCAGATTATTCTAAATGAAACATATGAGATTATTAACCTAGTCATTTTGTGTATACCTATAATCAGATTCAAAATACACATTCGTATACATATCTAGTTTATAAGGGTTAGTTATCAGTATATCATTGAACTATTGGTATGATTCCCTTTAATTTGTTTATAGGATAAAGCTGGAATTATATATATATATATATATGTGCACTGTTGTAATGTCATATTTTTTAATGTTATTTTATGTAAATTAAGTCATTTCGGTTGAATTTATGAAGACAGCGTAATGCTTGTAAAACTTATCAGTATACATATATGGATTCATGAATCTCGAAAAGAGTGAATTACAACTTGATGGATCCAATGGAAACTAACATGTATTAGAAGTCACCTGAAGAAGTCTACCTAAAGTTTGTGCTGACAATGTCGTTCAGAAGAACGATGAATGCTCCACGACTAGACCATCCAGTTCAGAGAACGAAACTCCATCAAAATCGTCCACGAACCCGCTCGCGGGATTCAAACCCAAGGCCTTCGGTCTCTCTCTATATATAAACTCATTTTTAAGTTGTATTTGTCAAGCTTTTCTCTTTTAATTCTAGTGAATCAACCAATGAAAATAAAAGAAAAATATATTTAAACGGAGACATTATTAATGATTGAATTAAATGAAACATATTCAATGTTGAATAGGTTGCAATGTTAATGAATTCCGTTTGAGAGAAACCTTTTCAATCAAAATGAATTGAATCGATATTACTTATATTAATCATTATGAATAGAAGAAATGAGATGAAAATAATTATGAAATAAATAAGTAACAAGTAAATAGTATTGAACTGGATTCGAACTACATCATGAGACAAGCGATAACATGGAATCGTGAAGGGAAACATACAACAAGAAGAAGAAGACGGTCGAAGAATACACTATGTCGGAACTTGGAAACAGACATAAAAAAAAAGAATAACAATTGAAAAGAACTGGAAAAGATTCATCAAGACAAGGTTGGATTGAGAATGTTGCTGGGTGACTTATACTCTTCCATAAGCAGTAACGGACATAAGTAAGTTAATAAGTTTTGGTTCAATGAAATAAATCTTTTTCTTCTATTTTTTCTTCTTGTGAAAGAGATTGGTAATACTTTTGAATGGTACTTTAATGTGTCGATTCGTTGATTGATTAATGTGCGTGTGTGTGTTTAACATTTCATTATGATTTTTATCAGGATATACTTGTGAATTAGGATTCATCGATTGTCTATTAACCAGTTTACAATGTTTATGCCAAATACTTAAAAGATCTGGTTCACATAAATATGGGTAGTTTTTATAAAAAGTTGAATAACCACCATGTAATATATAAACAAATGGATATTTTAATGCAGGATATGAATTGAAATGTAATACTCTGTCATGAATACGTAAAAGATAAAATAATTGTGGTGCACGTTTTGTAGAAAATTCACAATATAATATAAATATAGTATGAGATGGTTATGGTTTAATCAGTTGTTCCGTTGAATATAATGAGTTACTTAAATCCATTTCAGTAGTTTCAATAGATTGTTGTTTTATACCAAAAAAATATTTATAAATTTTTGGCCAATCTGATAAATTAATAGCACTAAAAATATGTCCAGCATTATATTCGTGTGGATAACGACAATCGATAATAACGAAATGTTTAGGATTCATTTTCAACTTTGATAAAGTGATCATTTTTTGTTGATTTTGAAGTTTATGTTTATATCTAAGGTCATGTAAACAACATTTTGATCTCTTATTACCTTTACCACTCAACTGTTCTTCATTAGGTCCAAAACCTTCTGAAGATGATGATGAAGAAGAAGAAGAAGAACAAGAACAAGAAGAACAACATGATGATGATGAAGAGTTGGACGAAAAGGAATATGATAATGTACATACTGACTTTTGGAAAATAGGTGATTTTTTTAAAATCATTGATTTCATCTCAATTAACCAATTCGCTAGTTGGTCCACTTCAATTGATGGCCATGGTGAATGTAAACTATTATTCAATGTCCAAAAATCATAATGATGAAGTGAATTCTGTTGAAAAACAATTGATAAAATAAACATTGAAGTTTTAATGGTTAAAAAGTGTCAGATAGAAATTGCTGTTTGAAGTTGTGAGGACGACCCATGGGTGAACTCGAGGAAGCTATAAGAAGCTTAGAAAGAGCTAAAGATACTCCATTCAATCATGTTTTGGGAGAATATTTCAGAATCCCTATGTGTAGCTTCCCTATTGGACAAATGCTAATAACCCTGTGTATGCACATTTAAGGGCTATAATGATGATTTCGTTTTTACTAGAAACTATAAATACCTGACATTTTTGTACCATAATTGATGCTGTTTAAAA